TTTTTAGCGATTTTATTTTGGAATGCGGTTCTCGCATTTGTGAAATTAGTAACAAAGGACATTAACATGAATTTAGCAGAGAATATGGGCGAGATGAAATCAGTGATAAAAGTTTTAAGCAGTCGTAATAAGATACCGATGTTAAATCTATTAATTTTAGTTTTTTTTTTTTGTATAATTATTCATGTTTTCGCAAGAAATTTAAAAAACAATCAAATTAAAAATTATAACCTTAACTATTTATAACATTATCTTTCTTAAAAATAAATAAATAGGTGACAATTGTTCGAGCGCAGTGTGGACTACTTGCATATGCGTACCACGATGTTACGCTATGTTGTCGTGTCATGGCGTCTCAATACCCCCCCTTGCCCTATGTTGGAACACATCATCGCTATCATTTTCCCGATCTATTCGGACTTTTCTGCGAAGAATCGGGAAAATCTATTCTCTATGCTTCGCGTGGGGAGGTAGCGGATTCCATCGGAAAAATGATACCCGGGCCTTGGTGCGATCTTTAATAAGTCCTAGATGAATAATCCAATCACTGGACCATTGCGCCACACCGACTTTTTCGCATCTTTTATTCCTAATACAATCACAATTGTTTCTAGCGCGAGGTGAGACGAAAGATAACCTAATTTACCGTCATAGCTCTCCGAGCATTAAAAGAGTTTCACATTCTTTAATAAATATGTCAGCCAAAATAAGAATTACAATAGCATTACAACAGAAAATTTTCAAAGAAGTAAACAGTTAAAAACTTTAATACTATGCAATATAAACGCAGTATAAACAACTAATGACGTACAATTGGTTTTATTAGGCTAAAATCAGAAAGCTAAAATGATCCAAAAGATTAGTATCTTTCTAGTTCCTTAATGATGTTTAAACCAAATCTTTATCGTTTAATTAGACATATTCGATATGATGAGCTTAATGTTTTGTGAATGGCACTGAATCATAAGGATACAAATTTGCCAATCGTGGATCTAATCTTTGCCTTAGCTCTTACACACACCTCATAACGATTACTCTGTTTATCTATTGAGTGAACCACTCCTTGTTTCAAACACTATTCCGTTCTCTTTACGAAATCAACTGATCAAACCGACGTAACGACATAATCCTGAGACGAGGGTGACAAAACACCAAGATACGTCAAAACACCATTTTACAAAAATTAAACATGAACATGTTTACTTTGTGAGACGATCTAAATAGATTATTAGTATATTTGTTTATTTGTTTAAATGTTAGGTCTCAATTTAGTTCTTGAGGCCTTGAAAAACAAAAGAGATAATGAGGGGGAGAGTATGGAAAAACAAGGTTCATTATTAGGTATTCTTAGATTTTTCATGGAGTAAATGTAAATATATAAAGTATCGCTTCGAGCATTGCTAATCTCTTTGTCACAAATATCAAAATAACGAAAGAGTCCTTGAATTTCATTTCCGTTTTAGTATTCTGGATTACAAAAACAACCTTTGATAAAGATATCTTGTAAAATCAAACGACGCGAATTTCTAGTAAGTATGTAAATAGAGTTGATGATGGGTGTTAGTTTGCGAGTCGGTGGGCCCATGCTGAACCCACCATAGGGTTCCGTCTTCACTCGCTGGTGTTGAATTATACAGTTGCTCACTGAAGATGGCGTAATGCCGAAACGCGTTTACCTGCCGATTTCACATAAATGAAATATAAATGAAAGTTTTTCATTCGTCAAATTAAAAACTTATAATACTATAGCCCTTGAATATATTCGAAATCCATGGAATTGACAAAATATTAGTCTCAAAAAGACCTAATGGCAATGTAAGTAAAAACAATAATAGTGGCGCGCATTAGTGATTACGTAAGCATGTACAACTAATGTAAGTTAATTGTGTTTTAAACCACTTGCTGAATTTCATGGGCTCCAAGAACTCAGTAGTTATTAAAATACACATTTAATAGTGATTATTCTTAACTTAATTATTAACTTCGTAGTAGGGTAAACATCGGATGACGATATGCTGATGCATTCAAGTCAATGCAGGGTCAACCACGTTCAGGAGTTGCCGTCTAGATGAAATTGACTTTCAACTAGAATCGACAACTAAACGATTTTATTCGGGGGCTGTTTTCGTGTAGTGAAGGTCACCATTCACCTTCATTAACTTTTTTTCATATTTACAACTATAAACATTTAAGTAAATATATGCTATATATATATATATATATATATATATATATATATATGCTGCATTTGTCATTAGAGCATATTGTAGGAATGGCAACACTCCTTCACACTGAAACTAATTAATAACTAATTTCGATTTTCAATGCTACAATTTTGTACAATTTCACATTTGTCGTCCGGGAGCGTGACAAGTCGCGTTTAATTGCAGTTATCTGCTAAAACAATGGTTAAGTCGAGAAAAGGGACGTTATATCGCCGAGGAATGCTCTCAATGCGCCTTTTTCCGCAATCAACGTCACCTTAAATATTTGATTATCGTCGTACGTTTCGATCGGATGAATTAGGTGAACGTCAGCGATAGAAGGTCGATTCCACTCGTAATCTGTATTTTACGTAACTACTGAGAAGTTGGATTATCCAAATTGGTCTATCCTCCTTTAAATATCAACCTCTAACTGACGTCGGATATAAATCTCGAGGTAACTGACGAACGCTTATGGGTTAAGAGTGGTTCTCGAAAATTAGAATGGGATCGTTCGTTTTCTTATCATCGATTTTATCATTCATCAAGAATGATCTGCATTCAAAACAAATTTAGGTGTAGAAATACACTTTTCATTTTGATATTTGTACGCCACGCTTGCAGATCGACATTTAAGGCATGTATGGAAAATTTGAATAAATTCGAAATCTAAAAAAATGTTGTGAATATCCATAGAGGACATTTACTGACACAAAAACAATTCTATACGTTGTATGTAGAAAGTGAAGTACATCTTATGCTCCGTCCAATTTCTTCGCGAGAGAGAGAGAGCGTGTGACTGAGTGAGTGAGAGATATTGATAGGTAGAGTGAGTGTGTAAGAAAGTTAGAGAGAGAGAAAGAGAGAGAGAGATAGAAAGAGAAAATGAGTAAGAAAGTGAGTGCTCAAGAGAATGAGTGGTTGAATGAGTGGTTATGTGAGTGTGAGGAGTTTGAGAGATAGAAAGAGGGAGAGCTAGAAATAGGGAAATAGAGAGAGAGATACAGAAGGAAAGAGGCAGGGGGAGGGAGGGAGAGAGGGGGAGAGAGAGAGTGAGGGAGAGGGAGAGAGAGAGGAGGAAAGAGGCAAAGTGAGAGAGAAAGAGAGAGAGAGAGAGAGAAAGTGAATGAATGAGTGCTTAACTGAGTGTGTGTGTTTGTGTGTGTGTGTGTGTGTGTGTGTGTGTGTGTGTGTGTGTGTGTGAGAGAGAGAGAGCAAGAGAGCGAGAGAGAGAGGGGGGAGAGAGAGAAAAAGAGAAAGAGGCAGAGCTGGAAAGAGAGAAATAGAGAGAGATAGAGATAGATAGATAAATAGATAGATAGATAAATAGATAGATAGATAGATAGAGAGTGAGGGAGAGGAATGAGTAAGAAAAGAATAAATAAAGGAAAATATGAGAGAATGAAATGTTAGATCTGACTATATTTGTCTTGTGTTGATTAGAATAACCAACTACTTAAAAATGAGTGAAAAAGAGGAAGAGCAATCAAGAAAATGTTAAATATAAAAAAATAATAAAGAAAAATTGACGGTATATCTGTATTTTAATCGGTTCAACATTTTGTTTAATGAATAATAAAAACGTATTTCCTATAGAAGTTGACCATAAAATCAAGTTTGTAGATATGTAAAACATGAGTCGCCTTGCCCGTGAACGACAAACGACAGGACCCCGAGTGTTAGATCGTGCGTGACCCGTGTTTTTTGTTGTGGGAGGACTGAAAATTGAGTGTCATACTCCCCACCTTTTCTCATCATCGTCATCATCATCATCACAACAACATCTTATCAACGGTATCAAGGTCAGGAAGACTGCGGAAAGGAACTTTTTTCCCCCAATAGAGCCGGCATAAAAGGTACATTCGTGACATGTTTTTATGTCCGGCGAGCCGAGGATGTTTAGACTGGAAGGTCCTCTTGACAGCTCAGGGCTGTCTCCATTGGATATGCCGTACACTTTTTGTTTACGAAAATAAATTTGTCAACAACTAACCCTGTTCAAGGAAATAGTGCGTGCCTTTTCAAGATTTTTTACTTTCACACATATAGAAATACAGTGAAAAGTCTTACTTATGTACCAGACAGTGAAAGAGTGAAAAGGTCCGACCGTCAGAAGAAGAAAATTTTTCCACCCAATGGGAAACTTATTTTTTTTTTAATCGACCGTAAGTTTTCAACTTATGCTTTAGTTAACGTTTTCTCCAAGACTGAAATCATCCATCGATCATATTCGTTAGGTAGAATTTGATTTTTAAATAAACTTGCCATGCCGTTGGTTTGTCAGTCAATACTGCACAAATTATGTTATTATGTCGTAAACAGCCCAAAAACCATGTTCATAGTGCCTCCTTTTTGTTTTAATTAATTATCTGCTAGGAGTTGATTAATCTTTAATTTAGACAGGATTAACTTGGTTAAGCACTAAATTTTATATTTAGATTAACTTGCTTCTTTTTAACAATCGAACATAGCTTTTGCACCCAAATTATTTTCTTCGGGTAGGGTAAGAAACTCTGAAGATCAGATCTGAAGAAGATCAGAATTTGATATTAACCAATATTTAAAAAATTATTGGCTAGGGATGGTTAGTCCAAAGTCAAGTTGTCTCGTGAGCTATGTTTGGTTACCATAAACGAAAACCATTTTAAACGATCTAGGCAGTCGCGGAAAATAAAAATTTAATAATTTTAAGTGCAAAAAGAAGAAGCTCTCTACAAATTTCTGGCAGTAAATACATTATTTTAAAATTATCTTAGATTTTTTAATAAAATTTAAAAAAATATATTTCACAATTACCTGTCGGTTATAGAAAATATCCTTTGACTGCATTCAAAGAGCATCGGGCGTCCTCGCGTCCGGCGACACAGCACTGCGCCCGACCGAAATGTCCAAATAAAACATGAATAAAGTATTAAAAAAACCCCAAAGCCCAGAGAAGTCTTGTAACGAGATGGGATGAGCACTGGCACCGGTGAACTCGCGGGTCGGCGTGATATAGAAGGACGAGGCTGCCATCTGCCGACCAGGTGAGCCAAACACAAATCCTTGAATTGACCGGACCGGACGGACCCCCCTTTGTCAAAATTGACGCTATTTCCGATCCTCGGATACTGATTTTAGCGCTTTTCGGCCTTTTTTCTCTTCAATTTTGCACTGACGGATGCCCTTTTCGACAACCCACCGAGGAAAGAATTTTTTTTGCCTTACTTCAAGTGTAAAACATTTGGCTACATCATCAAATCTGATTTCCAAGTCAGTAATGCAAATGAGTCAAATTATGTCAACCTTTCCGACAATGAGCCTGCTCAAATTATGCGGAAAGTCTTGATTTACTCGTACACTGTTTACACAAGTGAAACGGGCCCCCGTAATTTTTTATTCTTGGCAATCAAACATATTTGCTTAATTATCTCAACAATTTTAATTTTATTTGTATTCTGATTAGTCCAAAGAAGAATCACGTTTTAGGAAAAAACGAGCAATTTTATGGATCGTTTCAAATTCCCCTTTGACAGCTTGACTGTATTTTGCTGTTTATTTTATGTATTTATTATCGTTGTATTAATTAAAACATACTTATTTTAATGCTAACCAAATTAAACGAGATCAGAAATCCACGAATTTTAATAAAAATTATTTAATTATGATGGTTTGAAAGAAGATTCACCAAAAACACAGGAAAATCAATTAATCATAGATTAAAATTTAACTCATAATTTATTATCTAGTTTTCCTTTTAATAACGCGTATTACTTCCCTTGGCCTCCTCAGGGTCTCAAGTCTCCTAGGTATCGAGGAAACAAGCAACGGATTTCGTCTTGTTAACAGAATCCCATTTTTCAACAAGGGTGGTTTGAAGCTGTTCAACGCTTCTTGGAAATCGGCGTTGTTCAAGTGTCTCAGCGAGATGCTGATTGACGAATAGTCGCTTTTCTACACCTGATGAGGTAATAATGACTAGGGCATTCTGATGACTGTTTGGCCGTTTTAGACCTCACCCCCTTACGGTTCGGACCATTTGGAGTTGCCTATCTTTCAAGGAAGCCGTTAAATGACAGTTCAATAGTGCGGTAAGAGAAATAAAACGATCCTCTTTAGCCGTCATACATCGCAGTGGCCACTACCTTCCATCGAGACTTCCGGTGGCTGTAAACCACTGTAGACCATCGTAGATGGAAGAGCGCGGAACACCAAGGACTTGTTCTACCTAACGGACGCTACAGCTTGGTACATTAAAATTATGAAGAATCATATCCACAACTCTGGCCAACTGCATGGAAGTAACATGAGCCTGAAGCCAAATTGCTAAGGCATAATGATGTCATTTGCATTTAAAAGTGCCTAATTTTTTGCGGTACTACTCTGCAATTTTTGAGAGGGTACTAAGGAGTGGTTTTGGGCGATAGTTACGAGGCAGGTGTTGATTTTGATTAGGTTTAGGAAAAGGGACGTCTTTTGCGATTTTTCAGCAAGATGGGAAATGAGCAAGTACTTGATGTATGCTTCGCTAGAGAGATTTTGAGGGTGTGCACATGCTTTCGTTAATTGTTTATTTATATGAAAATGGAAGGTCAAAAGATGGTTTAAATAAATGCTCAGTTGGTGCTTATTGCTTCTACTATTTGGATCCATGGCTGCAGTCTTTTCTATTTCTAGTTGCGTGGTTCCCTAAGTCTTCTCGCGTCTTGTGCGATGTTTCCGAACTTTCAAGACAGCATGGTCAAAGTTTTTGGCCGGGTTGTTGGTTGACCAGACCAAAACAGCGTGGATAGGAAGACCAAATCGGATGCGACTGAATGGTACAATCTCTGTCTGATGTTTCGCTTTCGCTTCAAAAACAGAGACTACCAATAATGCTTTAAGTTAGAATAATAGATACGAAACAGTAATGAGCTTCACAGCTTCAAGCGCATTCTAAGATGCCTTTATTTTCATAGATGGTTAAATTAAAGCTGAATTTGCATTTCATCCTTAAACAGACCTTTTACCATTCAACGTCTGAAGTGAAGTTATTCGAAGTTCGAGCTTTGGCGGTGTCATTACAAGTCGGGGAGATTAGGGCGAAGGAACCGTTGCAGCAGACGAATCGAACAGAAACATTTAATTTTATCAATCTCCGGAAATAACCTTTAATCGGAACCGGCCCGGGTATTATCCTTGGGGTCGATGAAACAGAAATAAAGGAAGAGGTCGGCCGAAATGCCGCCTACCTCGAAATCCGTTCACAGAGATCGATCTTCTGGACCATTCGGACGGTTTGAACAACGGCGTCCTTCACGGATGACAATCTCCTTACAAACGGGAGTTAGCGATTAGAGTTGTAATCGTCCGAGAAACATCGTCGCTTAACCGTTAATCATCCATCAGAAAACCTTTATATTATTCTGTTTTTCTAAACTACCTCATTCTTGACCGCTCCTCACGACAAATTACAAAACAACAGGTCCCTAAAAAACACACATTTCTACTCGAGAGGATAGACATAGACAACAAACAATATGGGTTTTTACGAACATATCATCTTCAAACATGAACATCAAGCCACAGCAACACTGAAAAGCATAGCAAGAAATCAGAAAAAATTAGCAGCAGCTACAAATCAACGGATTTTCTTACTAAACTGTAGACAAAACAAGGTATTTCCTTCACACGTAAAATATAACTTTAACTTCACAAACGCCGAACTAACACAACCCAACACCAACATCGAAAACATACAGAAATCACAAATTTAAAACAAACATTTTAAATATTGAAATTAAAACTTGCATTGATAACATTAAAACACTAACTGACAATATCCATAAATTGAAACACATTGCTTCAACTATGCTACCAACTAACATCCTCAAAAAATTTTACACATACCAGCAAAAAAAAAAAAAACGCGCATAAATCCGGATGGAATACATAATAAAACATTAAAATATTGTAAACTTACCACTGCTCCCATTTTAGTGTCTCTTTTTAATACATCCCCATCTATTGGAATTTTTCCTTATGTTCTTAAAAGTAGCAATATAGTTCCGGCTTTTAAAACCGAAAATAAGATTAATATTTATAATTATGGACCAATTTGCATGCAACCTGATGTAGGCAAAGTTTTCGAAAGTATCCTATTAAATTCCTTAACTCCTATATTTAAAAACGTTATTATACCAAATCAACATGGTTTTCGTTTGAAAAGATCTACATAAACCAATTTACTAATATTTGTAAGGCTATATATTACAATGTGTGTTTTTTAGTGATCGGTTATTTAATAATTGGTTGAAGTCGTGAGGAGAGGTAAAGAAAGAGGTAGTTTAGAAAAACACATTTTTTTCATTTTTTGACGCGTTTCGACCTTTATTCGGATCATCTTCAGGGCATAAATTGTGGTGCTATTCTTATTGCGTGATAATGGTTTAGTGTGAAATTCTTGTGTAGGAATTGTTTCACAACGATTACACACAACACCAATACGACACCACAACAATAGCACCACATTTTATGCCCTGAAGATGACCCGAATAAAGGTCGAAACGTCGGGAAAAAAATGAAAAAGGTGTTTTTCTAAACTACCTCATTCTAGACCGTTCCTCACGACTTCAAATTATTCTGTTTAAACAACCGACAGTTATTGTTTGGTCATAAATTTCATCGAGCTTTTACGATGTGCAAATCGTCGAGTTGAATGGGTTCTAGTCTTTTTAGTTTTAACTACCAAGTAGTTTAATTACCGTTCAATTTACTTAATAGTTCTACGGTTATACGAGTGCAGTTCAGCGGTGTAATAAACTAAAACAGCCAAAATTTTATTCTACTCTTTAACAAAAGAGAGAAAAACGTCTATTCTTTTCAGCCTGGGCTCTAGTACTTTTTCGAAGAGCATATAATTTACAAAATGTTAATTATTATCTTAATCGTTTTGTCTATGGTTAAAAACAAAAATTTGTGCTATTAAGATTACCGTTGAAAACAAGCGCCCTTCGCGATAACATCGCGGCGGTTTCTCATGATTCTCATCCTCTTTGATTTTCAATTGTGGCTCATCTATTCATCGGATGTATTATTTCAAGCCGAAAATTAATACTTGGGTAAATCACTCGAAGGGGTTTGATAGATGATTGAGGAAAAGACCGCACTTTTTCGCGGAAAAAAGGCATTTTGTACGTGAATAGATGAGTCCGCAGGAAGTGAAAACAATTTCCTAATCGCTTTATAATCAACTTTCGATTAAACCATATAAGTAAAATTCCTATTATACATATTAAATTAACATCTACCAAACATCCAAGAAGTTGATTGAAAATAATCCATCAAAATGTGCAAGTTTTCGACATGTGTCAGGACAAAAATCTGTTTCGCCAGTTTTTCATCGTTACACCGGCCGGCGAGGGAGGACTTGATCAGTTCAGGAAAAATTTGTAACCTGTCCGTTGTCCTGTAAGTTTTCGGTCGCATTGCAGTTTCAAATCCTGACCGAGTCCCAAGAGATTCCCACGCTCTGCCGAACCCCAAGGTCTGCCTTATATAACCGAGGCTAACCGAAGAAGAGATCCACTAGAGTAATTGCCAACAATTATTTCTAAGTTAATTTTCAAAACAATGAACTGGACTAGAGACTTTAACGTGCGCTGGAACGAAGATGTAAAGTTGCATTTTTTCGATTAAGTTTCTGGATTAATGATTATTTGGATATCGTGAGATGCAATCTTGTGTGATGTAGGTTTAGAAAAACATTTTCTTTATCGTGCCAACGTTTCGATCTTTATTGAGACTTCAGGGTTTGGGATTTATACACATTGTTTAAATTATACAAATACATGTAAGATATGAAAATGTATACTATGATGTACACAGTATAGAAATTTTAGGTTTAATAAAAGTATTTGTATTCAAAGTGTGTGTTTTCTGTGTTGATGTGTCTCGGTTGTGGGTCGTGCTGAGAATGTTAGTGTCATTAATG